CAAGAAAGGAACCACAGGTCGGACTTGAACCCGGGCTGCTCGGCTGGAGGTCTATTGCCTCTGTACATGCTGTGCGACCTAACCGCTAGACCATCTGCACCCCCTTGATTTGATATTTATTGGATTTTGTTTTTACAAGTATTCGACACACACAGTATGTCAAATATAATAATAATAATAATAATAATAATAACTTATTGATGTATGGACAATTAGACCATAACAGTGTTTTCTAAAGATTTGACTTTGTGAATTCAAATTAACTAAAGCAGCTGCAGCATTTGTTTCCACCTGAGATATTGATCCCGACCCTACCGTTTGCACATCCTCTGAAACTTAGAAGGTGCAGTATAGTATTTAGTAATATAAGTTACTTCTTCAAGATTTCTCAGAGTCAACGTAAATACTTCTGCAATGTGCTGTCATCAGATTCATTCAGTGAAAACATGATACAGGAGGTTTCCGTCCTGTGCTTTCATCCAACATCCTGCCTTCTGACAGGGTCGCTGCTGGAAAACGTTCGATTTTAGTTGTGATTTGTGTCTATTGAGCAGACAAAAGCAAAGTAAACTGAATGCAACATTCATAAAAAAGGAGGGGCAAGGTAAGTATATTCTGTCAGAGAGCTTTTGTAGTGTTTTTTCTTCCAGCCTACAGCCAACCATGATGAAAACCATTCATTTCCAAATGGCATTGAAAGTTTTTATGTTTGGTCGTGTTCTATTCATATTTGCTGGTTGTACTGTGCTCAGCGATCAATATGTTTCAGCTCTTCATGAAACCACCTTCAGCAAAAAGACATTGCTCTTTGTGAGTGAGAACAAGACGGTGTGTGTTGGTGTGTATAACATTGTGGAAGTGTAACTTTTAGTCCAGCAGACTACAGAACTGCTGGACAATTCAAGGAGCTGATGATAGTCTGTAGAAACAAACAAAACACTTTGGACCAAATAGTTTACATTCTCTGTGCTTGTTACTTTATATTTGACCAAGGCCTTCGGCTATGTGAGACTTCATAGTTTTTATACACCTATCCTCAAGATTACTTCAAGGTTTTCTTCTATAAAAAATTTAATAAATAAAGCTCTGTCAAATCCATTTATATCTTTTCAAGTTATTTAGTTGAACATTAAAAGTCTTTAAGATACTTGTCATCCAAAGACACAGCCTATCTGTTGAGGACACAGTCGAAATATAAACTCTTCAGTGGTGTGCATTCATTTTGTGTGAAAGCTTCCTTGAACTCATATTCAGGAATAATGCAATGATAAGGACGTTACAAAAATCTGTATAGGTTGCACTTTAGAAAAATGCTACTGATCAGCTATTTGACAAGTGGTGAAAGTGGTGAAAAAAGCAACAAGATATGTTGTTTGAGTAAAATTTCAAAAGAATTAGATCTTCTCAAAAAGCTGTGAGGGTTGATATTTTTCTTCATTAGAATTTCTCTGCAGCTTTCACCAGACACGGGAGATATTTGTAGTAAGCAAGCAGGCATTAAGTAATGTGTAAATGTTATTTATTCCCAATAACTTAATATAGACAACTATATCTACAAAGATTATGTTCAATTTAACTATCATACTCTGAGGCTGAATGATATGTGCATCTACTGGCTCATTCATACCAAGGCCAGGAACAATACAGGAGCTTGAACTGTAATATGTATAGAAAGATGTAGCTGGTCATATTCAAAATAAATGCAGTGATTTATAGTTCTGGGTCGTCATTATCTTGTGTCATTATATGGTAGCTCAGCCACACAGGTTGCAGCAATCTTTAAAAGTAAGAAAATGCTCTATTATAGATGACAAAAGACAAATGTGTGCATTCACATCATTACGGTCCCAAATGTTCTCTTCTAGTGCCTTTCACTGATCTCAGTATGTGAGAGCACCCTCTGCTGGTCTTTAATAGGAAATATCAGCCTGTCCACTAAAACTTAACAGATTCATGTGAGGAATTACAGAAAGTTTAATTGTGCTTCAAAGCAATAATCCAAAATAATGAAATCAATGAATTGTGAAAGTACAATAAAAGATGACTTAAAATGGTTTTAGAGGAAGTGATATGGTGCTGATTGACCTAAACTGTGGTTACACAAGAATTCAAAAGCAGAAGAAGCGGAGTGTGCGGTGGTGGTCGAGTAGATGGGAATGCATTTTTGGGCTCCATGCCAGACAGGCAACAGGGAGGATGGGTGCACAGACTCAGCGAGGCGACATTCCCTCAGGGGCTGTTCTGATTGACACTGGCCACAAGGTCTCAGGAAGGTGCCATTTAATGTGAGACTGTAAACCAGGTCAAAATGATGTTGGGTAACAGCTGTCAATCACCTGGACTGTCTGTGGTCAGCAAGGTGTCACTTAAATCCTGTACAGTATTTCAACTGGGATTAACACTGCAAGGTGTCACAGGGTTCATGTAATGGTTGTTGAGTAGCTTAATAACTTCAACAACTTTGTCTAAGTTACAGTTGCTAAGTAAACCTGAATGGCATATGCTGTGAATAACAATGTTTGACAACGATTTATGAAACTACTAGATCTTTCTAAAATCAACCTGGTAATGAACAATTAACGGTTAGTTAAAAGTTTATGTTAAAAAAAACAGTTATACCATTAAAGTTAGAGATATACCATGAACCTGGTTAGCAAAAACAAAAGGGTAACATTTAGACTTCAGTTAAAAGGTTAAAGAGAGGAAGAGAGACACAGTCAGCAAATGGAGGCTAAGCAATTGCTTAGTCAACAGTTCAAATTGTTATAGAAAATGGAGAGATTTACAGATTATTTACAGTTTTTTGTTTATTAGTCTGTTACGTGCCTATATGTATGTGATTAATATCGTTCTCTAAATTAGATTTTTATTTAAAAAAGAAGAAGTTTGGTAACTAAAATATCAACCCATAAGATATATATTGTCACATAAAACTTGTTTTGTTTTGGTAGTGAGGAGACCTTTAAGGCCTTCAAAGTTGGCAACCACATGGTGTTGACATCGAGACTTATTGATTGTCGTGTCAGAGTGCATGATGCCTGCAGCTGAATGAACAGGGAGGGTGATGCACAGAAAGTGAGAAAAACAAATGTTATTCTCTACAAATCAGCCCCGTGGCGAGACGCTCAACTCTGAGTCCTGACTGGTCTGACTGCTTTTTTATTGATTTCAGAGCGGGATGGGCAGCAGGCCACAAAAGGCCTCTGGTACTGACTGTCTGGCCACTGATTGATTAATTAATGTAAAATCATCCTCAGCTTAAATGAGATGACACTGGACAAGAATACTCTGTTAGAACATAAACCTTTATGATTCACCTGCTGCTGTTATTGTAGTTTTTTACAAAGACATAACTCATGGTATGTTTGTGTGTAGAAATACTTTGTTTGAGGGTTTAATTCAATAAACCACAATTGATGCATTATTTTTCTTTTATAAAATCACATAAATAATTATAATGGTGAATTAAATGTATTGTTCATAAATGTGTCTAAAATCTCAATAAGGTTAGCTTCTGGTTTCATTCAAAATCTACTAACAGAAAGGAAGTGATAATAAAATGAACAAACCCAAATTTGTCCATAATACATGAAAATGAAGTTCAACCAATTTCCTCCTGGGGATTCTTTAAGTATATCTGATTCTGATTCATAGAATGCTTAGTTTTTAGCAATAACAAAAGTTGGCCTCTGGGGGGAACCAGAGAGCCAGAGATTAATATCAGAGGCAATTTGCAAATCATTTTTAAGATGATATCTCACAGCAAAAAGATACCAAGGAGTGTGACTCTTATTTCTGACTTTAAAATAGATTAAAAAAAAGAAGTAAATTCTCAGTTCACATCATTCACACATCACTCTCCTTCTCTCGTTCTCCTCCTGCTTCTTTTCTTTCGTTTTTATTCTTTCAGGAGAAATAACTATCTTTTCCCATGATCTCCTTCAGCTAATCACCATGTTGCTTGGTTTTCCTTATTAAACAGACTATCCATCTATCCCTCAGTAGTCCTCTCTCAGTACTTCCATTATAAAAGGTGTGTCTAATGTATACATTTAAAGTAGTTCAGGCAAGGGGCAAGGTTTGAAACAAAGGTTACAAATCCAGTTATTTGGAATTATTTCTGTTCTAAAATATTACAATGTGATATCTAAATTAAAAACTGCTTTGATTGCTTTATATCTTTATTTTATCCTTGCTTATATATATATATATATATACTATATATATATATATATATATATATATATATATATATACTGTATATATATATATCTTTTAAAAATACTTTTAAAGTTTGCACCGCAGTTCAGAGAGAAACACATTTTTTTTTTTATGTATGTCAAGTATGTGTAGCAAAAATGGACAATAAAGATGACTTTGACTTGACTTTGGCTTGACGGCAATAAGACAACAATATTTTATTGTTTTTTATTGTAATTGTTGTGATTAACCATGCAAGGTTTGGAAGATCTCTTTAGTACATACTCGAGGGAGTCAGAATGATCATGGGGGAGGCTAAGAGACCACCACCATGGAGGCTGATCCTGGTCTTTTGGGGACGCCAATGTGAGCTTTATCAGTGTTACAGTTTTGGTTCGTAAAAGATAACCTGGCAGCTGTAGCCCAAGTTTGTATTACTGGGGAAGCATGGCTGATAACTGGGGTTGGAAGGCATTGTGTTGCATTCAGGTCTGGTGTGCATCAAAATATGTACGTGCAAGTGGGAAAGCATTCTGGGTCTTATGCTGTGTGAAAAGGAGGATGGGTAGACAGACTCACAAAAAGCGACATTCCCTCAGGGGCTGTACTGATTGACACTGGCCACAAGGTCCCAGCAAGGTGCCATTTAATGTGAAACTGTAAACAAGGTCAAAATGATGTCTGGTTACAGCTGCCGATCACTTGGCATGTCTGTGAGCAGCAAGGTGTCACGAAGCCCTGCAGGGTGACAAGTGAGGCAAAGACAGAGAGAGGAGATACTGACACTGATGTACAGCAGGTTTATAGATAATCAGCATAGCAAAGGAGCGTTTATTTGTATCACAGGGGTTAATATGGGATTTCCCATGGGGAAGGCGGACTTTGAAAAATAGGAGTTTGGCAAAACAGCAGAGAATTCTGTTAACGCAGCGAAAAGTTCTTGTAAATGATACAAAAAGAAAGCTAAAAAAAGTATTGAATATATCGTCTATTTATCCTAAATCAATGGTTACATGGCAAACATAGAAAAACACAAATACGTGGCACACTGAAAAAAACTTTTTTGTAATTTCCTGTGTTAATATTATTCTAAATGATTGTGATGATTGGTCACGTGACCCTTTGTATTGAACACACCTGTGTATGCCGTGATTGTGCTGGGTGAACCTGAGGAAGCTACCGGCTAAACGCGTTGTTCGCTCACAATAAAATACAGTAAAGTTATTTTCAGTGTGCCACGGATTTTTGATTTATTTTTCATGGTATGTTCCTTCAACCATGCGCACCTGAGAACGTATAGGCTGTGCACGGGGTAACCTGTTGCCCATAGGGTAAGGGTAATAAAAATACAAGCTGAAAAACACAGTTAAAGCAAAATGGAAATTTGATTTAAAAAAAAAATAGTTAAGTAAAAGTGTCTAGCTTCTGCTAATTGTAATCAAAATTCGACAAAAACCAATTGAAACACTGAAAGCTCTTCTACAACATAACTGTTACACTTGTTAAACTGAGTGAACTGTTATGACAAATCAAAGAGATCACTAATAAAGAACATTTGGTGATGAAGTAGTAGAAGGTGTGCTGGGTCTAGGTAGGATTTATTTTGAAAGACAGTTGCTTTTTGATTGAGTTCACATTTCAGCCATTCAATCAGCCCTGTAACAAGATGAATTAAAAGATCATTTAATATTTGTGATAAAGCTCACTGTCAGGACTGGAGGGTCAAAGTTCACTATGAAATGTCATTTTATCTTTCTTTATTCTTTTTCTTTCTTTGTGTTCTGTCAAGCCAAAATGTTTGATGATCTTTTTAATTTAAACACACAATCATGAGGAGGTTGTATGTGATGGAGTACATTTATGGTCTAGACAACTGACGGCTACATGGTGCTGACTGCTGACATTGAGACTTATTGATCATTATGTTAGAGGGCTGAATGACCATGGCTGAAAAAAAAGTAAAAGATTTTATTTAAAAAGAAAAAAAGTAGATAACAACGTATGTCTCTTTAAAATATATACTTTGACATAAAACTTGTTTTTGTTGGGGTACTTAGGAACCATTCAAAGTTGGCAACCACATGGTGTTGACATGGAGACTTATTGACCAACATGAGTGCACGATGCCTGCAGCTGAATGAACAGGGAGGCTGAAGCAAAGAAAGTGAGGAAAACAAATGTTTGTCTGTCCCGCGGCGAGACGCTCAACTCTGAGTCCTGACTGGTCTGACTGCTTTTTTATTGATTTCAGAGCGGGATGGGCAGCAGGCCACAAAAGGCCTCTGGTACTGACTGTCTGGCCACTGATTGATTAATTAATGTAAAATCATCCTCAGCTTAAATGAGATGACACTGGACAAGAATACTCTGTTAGAACATAAACCTTTATGATTCACCTGCTGCTGTTATTGTAGTTTTTTACAAAGACATAACTCATGGTATGTTTGTGTGTAGAAAGTTTTTTTGGGGGGGTGATTTTTGCCTTGGTTAGATGAGAGACAGGAAGTGTTGGGAGGAGAGAGAGGGGGATGACATGCAGCAATGGGCCGAGGTAGGATTCGAACCCTGAGCTGCTGCTATGAGGACTATAGCCTCCATACATGGTGCAAGCTTCAGAACCGTTTGGCTATCGGCGCCCCAGAAAGATTGTTTTTTGTTAAAATAGACCCTGATAAATTCATTTGTCTGCTTAAAAAACAACACATGGATATAATGGAGATTGATATTGTATTAAAGTGAATACTGATCAAATATTACAGATTTAGTTTCCTCTTAAAATGTGCTTACAAAAATCAGATAACCAAGAAAAAGAAAACATTTGCAAACAGACTGGATGATTAAAGTCAGAGTAGTAGGCTACAAAGTGTACTGCGATGACACGTGTTTGCCTCTGAAGGGAGCCAGAGAAGCATGAATAAGCATTTCACAATGACCCTGCTGAGCTTTTTGCCATTGTTTTCTCAAAATAATAAAATCAAAGTAAATAAACAAGTGATGAAGCATGACATTCATCAAAAAGAATCTTGAATAAATTACAGATGTAAATAAGATACTAAAGAGTGTCTCACTTGTTCTGAACTTATACAGGAAAAAAATAATCATGAAGTTACTTTTATGTTTTGTCTCCAAGGACATTTTTCCTGTTTTCTCTTTTGTTTGACTGTAGTAATCCGACATGAAAAAGATCATTTAAAAGGTTTTTTATTTGACAAAGAGTTGGAATATAGCTGACACGATCATAAAGTAACTGCCTGTGAAGAACTATATATTATCTTAAATGTATGTGTAATGTGATACTACCTTTCGTTCAGTATTTCACAATTTCTACAAACTGCTTCTCTGTAACATTGCATTTATTTCCCTCTATCATTTCACTATTTCTTAAAAATAAAACTTGAATTGATTTTTTTTTCACTGCTGAAGGGGAACTGAAGAAATCCTGTTCACGACCTCTACCTGTGCTGTCATTTATTTCACTGTCACACATCCATGACAAGATTCTACTTTGTCATCTACCAACATCATATCCTGTGATGAAGATGCATCTCAGTCGTCACCTTTCCCTTCAGGGCTCATTCTGTCTCTGTGTACACTGCTTTAAAGTTTGCACGTCTGCATAGTCATACTGGCGTCTGGCCAGCGGTACGAGTCCACAGCAAACTCATCATAGTCGGTGCTGTAGGCAAGTGAGTTCACATACGCTTCTTTGTCGGACGGCTCTGGGTGAAGGGAGGCCATGTTGTGCTCATATGCATACTCAATGATCTGTAAAGGACAGGGTTTGAAACATTACAGTGATTTTATATTTTCACAAGCCCAAAAGCAGCTGGACTCGTACAGATATGGTGAGGGGATCTTTATGACCCTTGCTCTCACCTTGATGGCCAGTGTGCGAGAGACGTCTCCGATGGAGCTGAGAGGAGGATACAGTCGTCCCTCTGCCAGGTCCTTTTCTGTCACCAGGTGAGCGAGAGCCTGAGAAACAAAAGACACAGAGCAAGGAAATGAAATACAATGATAACATGAATTCCAGAAGTGTGATTACTCTCAGATAACTTTGACATATGCAGAGATACAGAGACTGATACTACTGGTGGTTTTAGCTTTTCCTAGAATTTTTTATTTTTTTTTTTTTTAAACTAAGGTTGAAAAAGGGTGAATAACTGGGCAAACTGAGAAATAGGACTATTGGGAAAATGATTGGAAAGGCATTACCTTGAAATTGTTCTCATGGTCTTTCTCCTTTAAAAAAGTCACCTGATGTACTATTTTTATTTTTTACAAACACATTCTCCCACACAGCCCATGGAACGACAGTGAAGTTGTGACAACATGTTAAAATACTCAAATTTTTAGACATAACTAATCCAACATTGCATTCATGTCCTTACATTTGGGTACACAGTATCATATTATTAGTAATCACTTAAGGATTTCTCTTTTGCGCTGATTTATGTTTCTCAGCTTAACTCCAGAGAGAAATACTGTTGTTTATATTTATTTAGAAACTGCTTTCCAGAAAAATTATTTATATACAAAAATCATGATGAGCTTATGAAACATGAAGCAATGTTATAAGTCTGATGTCCTAACAGTATAGAACCCCTAACAATATATTTATTACATAAAGCTTAATAATAATAATAATATTAACAAAGATTTGAAAAGTGTGTATGTACTGTGTGTGATGTGAGAGTCTGACCTCTGCTGCAGTGAGAAAGATTTCCTCAGAGATGTTTTTGATGGCACAGGCAGTAACACCCAGGCCCACACCAGGGAAGATGTAGGCGTTGTTACCCTGACCAGGGTAGAGTTTTCTTCCATCAGGTAGGATGACCGGGTCAAACGGGCTGCCACTGGCAAAGATGCCCCGCCCCTGCAGCAACATGTGGTATAGCAACCTTTCTTAAATATTATTATTTGCAGCAGTGTTATTAACAGATGTATTCAAGGCAAGTCATACACTCTTATATGTTTGTGTGAGAGTGTCCAGAGTGAGTACCTCTGTCAATGTATAGCACTGCTCAGCGGTGCATTCTGCTTTGCTGGTCGGGTTGCTGAGGGCGAATATGATTGGGCATTCATTGAACGAAGCCATGGCCCTGATGATCTGTTCGGTGAAGGCTCCACCAATAGCTGCCACACCTGAGACAGAAAACCATCAATGTGCAATAGATCTTATTTGCATCCCAGCCTTTTGAGTCTTTTTACAGGCTCATCATCAGGACTCTCTATTGACCTTAAATTGTTTTTTTCATGTCAGAAAAAGTTCCATCTGTCCTCTCTATCAACAATTGCTCTTTTCAGGGTTTACCTCGTAAAATCAGTCGTTCTTACAATCTGTTTAACACATATTTCAATTTCAATTCAATTCAATTTATTTTTGTATAGCGTCAACTCATAACAAGTGTTATCTCAAGACACTTTACAAGAAGCAGGTAAAATACCTTACTCTTTGTCTGTTAACATTACAAAAGAGCAGGTAAAAAGACCTTACTCATTGTTATGTTACAAAAAGCAGGTAAAATACCTTACTCTTTGTCTGTTAACATTACAAAAGAGCAGGTAAAAAGACATTACTCATTATTATGTTACAAAAAGCAGGTAAAAGACCTTCCTTATTGCTATATTACAAAGACCCGGCCTATCCATCACGAGCACTTTAGCAAAGCAGCAAAAGTTACAGTGGTAAGAAAAAACTGCCTTATTAAAAGGCAGAAATCTTTGGCCGGATCCCCAGCTCATGATGAAACAGCCTTCACAGGCCTAGACTGTGGAAAGGGATAAGGGGAGAGATGGGATAAGATGCAGGAAGAGGGATAGGGATTTTGAAAACTATCAGACTGGGTTTCTTGTGTAAAAATGTTTGATGATTTACCAATGATTGCTGTAGGTTTAATTTCCCGAACTACATCCTCCAGATTCTTCATCTGTGGGTGCTCATGAGCAAATCTCTCCTTCTCATGAGTCAGGTGTTCTCGACCCTGAAATTCAGAGAGGGCGTATGAGGAGGAGGAAGAGGACATGAAACATTTAACCGTCTGTGTAAACTTAGGGTTGAGGGTTGAGTTCAGTATCAGAATGAATGATTTCTTGAATGTTTTATCTTTGACATCAGGTAAACCAGAAGGAAACAAGAGAGAGAAAAGATGTGGTGGGATGAAAGCAATGAGAATGCTCGAAGAGGAGAAACAAGGGATCAATAGCATGGATAATGTGGACAAAACAGATGTGTGACAGATGCTAATGTTGGAGAGCCTGTTGCAGTTATTCCAAGGAAACTCCTCTGTCATATGAATTAACACGGCAGGAAAGGTTTTTTTCTTGCTTAGGGAACAACACTGATGTCAAACTGATCGAACATTTAAGATTCTCAAGTGGTAATAACATCAGCCCCCATGTTTTTTTATTTGCAGGATTTATTTTTCTGACCTTCCACAGAATTGTTCAGTTTTTGTATTCACGCCTGTGTTTAGTGCTTTATTAAGATACCTTGACAATCAGGCCTTTGGAATCAACCATCCAGATCTTTTTCAAACACTCCTCCTTAGGGAGTCCCTCCTTCTCCATGGCCATGGTGATCAGCTCAGCAATCCCCATCGCTGCCTGAGAGCAAGACAAAGGGAGGGGTAACAGAGGAGGGAGAAGGGATCTGCTTAATGACATCTGAATCTGAGCTTTGGAAATTTGGGTTTCACACACAAGATCGCTAAAATAGTGATTATGAGAAACAGCTTAAAAACAATTAATGTGGGGCGCTGGTGGCGCAGTGGTTAGTGCACGCGCCCCATGTATGGAGGCTGTAGTCTCAAGCGGGCGGCCCAGGTTCAAATCCCACCTGTGGACTCTTTCCCACATGTCATTCCCCACTCTCTCTCCCTGATTCCTGACTCTATCCCCTGTCCTATCTCTACAATAAAGGCACAAAAAGCCCCCCAAAAGAAATCTGAAACAAACAAAACAAAACAATTAATGTAATACAATTCCTCAGCAAATTGGAGATTGACATTGACATTGCTGTTGACAGTCTGACTCAATATTCAATGTGTCACAGGTGAACTTTTAGATGGTTTAATCTCAAATTGAAAACACTCATAACTTGGAGACATGTTTGTTTTGTGCTGGATGTGGTCCAATATCATCCTCTAAAATAAAGACATCTGTTTCATATTAAAATCTAATTTCTAATTCCTTATAAATCAGTATGGAAAAAAAAAATCTTAACTTAAAAAATAAACCTGGACAGAAGCAAAAACATGGCCAGCATCTTAAAATCAATTAAAGTGGGATCAAGATTAATTTTCAGATTTTCAAATAAGAAATTCTTGTGGCTCAACATACATAAGTGTGCTAAACTTACCTCCCCTGCTCCTTGGAAAACAATGGTGTGATCGCACATTTTGCTCTTGGTGATGCGGAGAGCAGCCAGGAGTCCAGCTACAGCTACTGCTGCAGTGCCTAAAAATGATCATAGAACAACGGCAACATTTCCGGTTTCATGTACTTATACTAACATTCCTCATAAAATAAATGTGTTACCCCTTTAACACAGAAAAACACTAGCGTAATATTTTAACACCACAACAAAAAACAAGAGTTGTTTGGATTGAACACTGACTTCCAAAAATATAGTTGACTAAATATATAATGACCAAATGTACTTTTGTAGTGTGAACACTAAATGGCCTTCAAAATGAAGCGTGAAATCCAGTTAAGACAAACTCTATAAAGGTTTGAGCCTGTTCTCTGATTTTGATGGTTCACTGCAAAAATGGTTCTCTCTTGAAAAAAAGAAACAGAAACACAAGACTCAACAGTACACATATACATCTTTTAAAAGGTGCACTATGTAAATGTGGTTGTGAAATTTGAAAGTTGGAGAATGGCAAAAAATTCTATGCTATATTTTCTGAACTAAATACACAAACTTTATTCAAAGGACAAAATGGGTCCCTGGAAGACTGTTTAGAGCTAAAAAGCTACCAGGAGGGGTAGCGGTATGCAACGGTTCCAACTGTTGCAGCCCACCACCATAACTTCTCGCGTAGCATTTTATCTTCAAACAGTGTTCCAGGGACAAAATTTTCCTCCAAGGACAGTTTGTGTTTAGAGTTATGAACATATACCACAGAATCTATACATTTCTCCAAAACTTCAAAACTCCATAGTGCACCTTTAACATGGATCATGTAGGAAATGGATGGGTAAGATGGTTCAGAAAGATGTCAATTTTGAGTGTGTGTGTGTGTGTGTGTGTGTGTGTGTGTGTGTGTGTGTGTGCGCTTCTGTTTTTGTTGAATTACCTTGGATGTCATCGTTGAAAGTGCAGTACTTGTTGCGGTATTTGCTCAGCAGACGGAAAGCATTAACATTTGCAAAGTCCTCAAACTGAATCAGGCAGTCCATCCCATACCTGTGAAAGAAGAAGCACAATTGAATCTGGCTGAACCAAAAGGCGACTTAAACTGACAGATTAAGAGGAATAGAGGGAGCCAAGTATTCTTTCTCAAGAGTGAGGGGTCAGCTAGTACACTTTCTGCACACACTTTTGCATACATTAACATATTTAGATTAAGAAGCCTCTGTTTCTAAAGACTATATTTCAGTCCTGAGGGGGGCGCTCTCCCACAACACTGAACATGACAGGGTGAGAAATTAAAAAATAAGTGATGCTGGATTTTTCAGTGCACACATTTTAAACGAGCATATATGGAAATGTTTCAATAAATGAGGACTAATCTTTTTTTACAAGTCTTTTCTGAAGAGAATTTAAAAGCTGCAGAACTGTGTGTAATGTTTTTTATTGGACATTTGACAAGCTGACACCTGTTTCGTCAAACTTCACAACATCACCTCACAATGAGTCTCACAGAGAAAGGTCAAACCTCCACAAGGGACAAGAGTCACAAAAGTACCATATTTGAAGGAAAAGAACACAAAGGCCACCCAGGGCCTCCAGTAAAACCAGCACTGTTCAATTTTACAAGATGCTGCACAGACCACCTATCACATACCTTCAATAAAGCAACACAGAAGCCTGTTCCAATAAGCTCCTACCAAAACATCATGCAACAAAAATAAGCCCTACGGCCAAAGTTATGAATCTGCAAATTAGATTTAGCAGCGACAGAGAGGAATCCTGAGTTCCCAGGCTTCTCAACAGATGGAACTTTAGTTCAGCAATTTACTGGATGTTTGCAGAGCAACTGCTGCTACTCTCAAAGATGACAGACAGTTTTTCAGCTGTAGGGAAAGGAAAGACCGACCTGGTGATGGTGTGAAGGATAACAGAAACTGGCAGATAGATGAAGGGAACATACTGTGTGTTACTGGAGATTTGAAAGTGTGTCTTTACCTGGAGGATGCAGTCTGTTCGCTGTACCAGACAGAAGGGAATTGGCTATGAAATGGTTTTGTTATTTATAATGGGGCTTTCCTTTATTCAAATATAACCTTTAGTGTTATCATCTAAAAATGTCTCCTTGTCCAAAGTATTCAGACTGCTTTCCATTACTACAGTAGGCAAGGGGCGGTTGTGGCTCAGTTGGTAGAATCGGACGTCTCTCAACAGGTGGGTTGGGGGTTCGATCCCCAGCTCCTGCAGCAACATGTCCGATGTGTCCTTGGGCAAGACACTTAACCCCAAATTGCTCCCACTGCTTCATCAGCAGTGTGTGAATGTGATTAATTACTTCTGATGGCCACTTTACATATCAGCCTCTACCATCAGTGTGTGAATGTGTAGGTGTGACCTGCAGTATAAAATGATTTGAGTAGTCAGAAGACTAGAAAAGTGCTACACAAGTCCATTCACCATCCCTTTAGATGGGTGTACATTTATTGCAATTTTTCGTGGTTTCGGTTTTGCCCAAAAAGCCCCAAAAGCCAGCCAAATGATCTCCCTTTTGGTATGTAGTGGAAATCCAAAGCTTCACAGACCTATTGTCCCTTATTATGGCAAAAATCTCATAGGGGCTGCATGTCAATGTAGGTTGAAGAGCCTAAAGTTCCGCATCAACTCTGACAATGTTTTTGCATCTGTGCATCATCTAGCGTCTTTAAGCACAGATTATGGGAACAGTAGGGAAAACAACACTATTGTCTTTTCAATTGATGTCACTGTCTGAAAAATATACGAGCAGTATAACTTTTATTAAGTCCTTTTTTTTTTCGCTGAAACAATGGGAGGAAAGGAAGAGAACATCTGAAACCCAAACAGCAGAGAGAGAGAGAGAGAGAGAGAGAGAGATCATGTTTCCATGAGTGAGTGACGGAGGAAAATGGGGACAGGCCAAGCAAACAGGCCAAGGCATCCCACCACCACCTCCACCAATACCTGCAGCCCTGCCAGTTATCTGAATAAACCAGCATGTTGAAGTCCTTCATCATTTTCAAAGTAGAGGTTTGTTTGATGACATCTCTTTTCCATTTTTCAAAGCTGTTTTTTTTTCTAGGTTTTATTCTTTTCATAAAACCCCACCTCATACCTCACACAGCATTTTCACTGTTTTGTACAATTCCCTAAAGCTGTTTGCCACACTTGTTGCAGTTGCTGTTTAACTGCTTAAGTTTTCAGTGGGTGGAGGAGGAGGAAGCTGAGCGGAAGCAAGGCAAGAGAGAAATGCAGGATGAGAAGCGACCTGAGTTCAGCTGTAATAAACCTTAACGTTCTGAAGAGAGAGTGCCAAAGCTTGGTCACTGTTTATCCTCCCCTCTGCCACACTGCACGACACTGATTCCTAATACAGAGACTGACAGGCTGGCTGAATTACTGCCAACACAGCAGTAGCACTGGGGAGAGAAATGTGTTTTCTATCAAGCAGTGAGCAGTTCTAAAGCACTGAACGCTTGTGTAAAGAGGATGAATAATGAGGCCAAGAAGGGAGCTATAAACTTTTCATTGTGTTGGGGCTTTAGGAGACGTAGACAGAGTCAGGCGACAGGCGAGGATAGATGTGGCCTTACCCCTCTGCCAGCGTGCAGCGTGCTTTGGTATGGTTTGGTGCAACTCGCTACTGGAGAGGTCAAACCAGTTCATGCAGAACCAAGCTGCTCATGCACGAGTCCAGAGGTGGATTTGGGAGAGTTGTCCTCTGCATAAGTTGTGAGTCATACCCACAACCTGCAAATATTCTCAGAAAATAAAGAGGATCAGGTTTTTTTTAATGCGACTGGAAAAAAAAACATCAGGTATTGAATCCATTGTTTTATGTTGAAATGACAGCACAGAAAGATCAGGGACTTCTGCCACAGATCTTTGAATGACTGAGCTGAGAACACATGCATATTTATGGGCATCCACTGACCATAAACTACAGAGTGACAAACTGTGGTTGTGGTATCGCAGAAAGAAAGGGACATCTTCCCAAAAAGACCATGAAGAATAATGAAGAAAAGCCACGAGTCAGGTCGAGTTACAGAGGTTGAAAGCTGTTTGGTTCGGTGGCCTGAACCAATAAAGATAGGGAGGAGTGTTTTTGACTGTGTGTGTATGTGTGTGTGGCTCAGAACAAAGCTCGTCTCGGAGGCCATTTGTGTTCATGGTCCCTATTTTTCCTGAGAGTCTGATGTCTTTTCCTTGACAACCCTCTGAATGGAATGCTGAAATTTGAAAAAGGGTCTCTTCTCCACAATAAGAAAATACCGTTGACAAAGAAAGCAGTATTTTCCTTTGTATCAAAGCTTAACTATGAAGGCAGAAACCTGGGACACACCCAAAAGATAAAAAACACAGACCCATACTCCTGACTGTGCTGAGAGAAATCTATTCATCTCTGAGCTGCAGCACAGAAAGATTGAAGGATTGGGAGGGAGGTTGTTCTCACACGAAAACCATAATTACAACACACAGATGTTTGAACTGGGAACTTTAATTACACACCAGCTACCATTGGTTGTTTCAGATGGGCAGAATATAAGTTACTGATTCATATCAAAATGTGAAACTTAGAACAAAAGAATGCAAATAATTGCGTAATTATTTAGTACATGCGAATAATCAGTATAGTCTTAATCAATAAAAGACCAAAGAGTAGACTGCAAATCTATTCTAAAACATATAGAAATGACATGGATTGGTGTTATAGTTACTGGGACACAACATAAGAAAAGCACATAAAAAGTGTGGTAAAGGTGCTGATAATGCAATAAAGGTTAAGGTATCATTACACTTACTCTAATGGGTTTCACACTGGTTATTAAATGGTCCGATGCAATTAGGATGACTCCAAATTAATCACAAAGCAATTAATTTATAGAAAACAGATTTTAATCCTATTGTTTATATTTTCCCCAGCAACATTTTTCTGCTGTGTAGTCAGCTTCAGGAGGCAATTTGAGAGTTTTGGGTGAAAAATATAGACATTCACATTTTAAATGACAGTTATACAATGTGCAAAAAAACAGATGTCCTCGGTTGGTCATTAACAAATGAAGAAAACTTGAAAACTTTAAAAGATTTCAAAACTGATCCTGAATTTTCCCCTCAGGAAAGGTAGGCCGGTGTAGTATCCCTTTTTAAAAAATATATAAGTTACAAAGTCAGTCCATCTAAAGAGGTCAGTGTTGACATTTCGGTAATACTTATTGTTCATAAAATTGATATTTGCTACAGAACCGACCAATATCTTGCTGCTGGCTCATTTTCCTGCAGACATAATATTAACAGGTATGTAAATAACTGAAGTTTTATCAACAAAAGAACTGTTACTTCAACTGAATCTGATAGCTGTAGACCATACAAGGTATAAGAACATTGTTTAAGTCATAATACACTATATATATATATATATATATATATATATATATACATATATATATATATATATATACATATACATATATATATATACATATATATATATATATATTATAAAGTAGTTATATCTTTTCGCTCACTTGCTTTAAATTAGCTAGAATACGTTTTTTACACCAGGTGTACCATTTTGGTCCACAAGAGAGTCTCTAAGTTGATGCAAACTCAACACAAAAGTAAGTAAAATGTTTTTATTATTATCAATTTGGATAATTACAAATCTTTCAACTTGGAAAACACAATATTTGGGCTCTTGGAGTAATGTTGTACTTTTTCCAGCTAAATAATAGGTATAGTATTTTACCTGATAGTATTATTATTATTTTCTAACTAAATCTTTTAAATTGCTTTAAATTGGGTTAGGAGCATATTGGGTTATAAGTCCAAACAAAGTTCAGTACTTGTGAACTCTTTCGACGTTCCTCCTCTCTAGGTTGTTATGGAAAAATAAATAAAGGGGCGGTTTATCCCTACTGTCTTTATTTCACAGTGAGATCACTTTCCATGACTTTGAGTAGTCCTTTGTCAACAGCACAATGTCTTCAAAGACCAAGAAGGGGGTTGATGTGAGAGCATCTTAATCAGTCATTATGATGAGAAAAGAGGTCAGAGAAATCCTGCCAACAAATGCTTTACCATGTAAGAAAGTTACATTGCAGAAGCCTTGCTTTCTTAATTGCTCTTCTGAACACTCAAACAGAATGTGCCTTGTGAAGCCTTGTGGTTGTTGTAACAGGATAGATGGATGAAAAGTTGAAGAGTAGATTACTTTCACACACCATGCCTCATTTACTGAATAACTCCTGACCATCCTCCCTGGCCTGCAGTTACTTTGACTCTGCAGTACTCACTCTTCACTGCCTGACAGGTGCACCTTTTTCATTCATTTACGTACTTTGAAGATGGGTAACTAATAGTTACAACTGATTACATGGTATATGGTAGCCAGGGGCGGCAGTAGCTCAGTCTGCAGTGTAGGGACTTGGGTTGGGATCTGGAGGGAATAAGTGAACCTTGTCTACCATTGGGCTGTTTCAACTCAATTATTTGAGAAATGCTACCAGAAAACCACAAAGCTTATTTGTGCTTTACATTTATTGTTGTAATTAATGACTTACCAAAATAAAAAATGGATTGAAAGAAAAGTACCCAGTATCATTGTTTACGAGAGTAGTACTTTGAGGGTTTCTTGGAGCTTTTAGCTAAACTAGTCCAATATAGTGAGAAAAAAATGCACGTGACATTGTTATTAATGTCTGATAGTGTAAAAAAAGTGTGAGAAATGATATAGCAGATGCTTTCCCGTGTGGTTAATCCATCAGACGTGTGGTGTTATGTCTGGGCCAATCTATATGATGAAGGATTTAATGAGTGACCCAGCTCCTTCAGGAAACACAATCTGGTTTCATCTGAGTCGTGATGAAATCTGAATCCTCAGCTAAGAGGAAGTAGGTGGATGTCATATGTACTTCCAACACTGAAGGGGGGAGCAAAAGAGATGGTATGAAGTGATCTTTTTTAGTCTGCGTTCATATAGAGCCAAGGAGGACCTCTGCAAAGAAGGTCACAGACAAGGGTGCTCTGTGCAAACACAGCTGTCGAACCTGCATGCTCACATGTGTGTTTTTTTGTACACACACACACACACACACACAGGCTGCCTGTTACCAACATCCCTACGGGGCTCCGTAGCTGAAGCTTTGATAAATCCCCCTTTCGTTCTCCAGAGAGCCAGCATCTCTCAGCACACATTATTTCTCAAATCTCCGAGCCGCCATTAAAAACAAAGACGCATTCTGCACTTTTTGTCCTCTCCTCTGATGCTTATGTTATCCACCCTATGGTCAGTCCTTCTGTTCCTTATTCTCTCAGTGCCGCATGTTTAAAATAGTTGAAGGCATTCCTGGAGTCTTTGCATGCATCTCAGATTAACATGGACCTTGCAACCGATCCAGATGTTATCAGACCACTAAATCAGTTGTTATCACTGCCACTAGACGGCCTCAGACGGGGCCAGATACTTAGCATTAGGTAAACAATCATGTATTATCATTTACTGGTCCAAGTACCAAGAGGAATGTGAACTCTTTTTTGTTGTCATGTTAACAATAATAAACAGTCTACATATTTTGTTAGTTAAAGGCACCAAAACTACAATTATATTTAGAATACAAAAGGGGGGCTTAAGTTTTAATGGAAAACTTCAAGGAAATCAAAAACTATCATTATAAAAGCAGGATTATCTATCTTTCTTCAGTAAGTTATATTTGACTTTTGGTTTCACAGGTGACGCAAGCCCCGTTTGGTTATAGGTGACAGTCCTAGTTTGACCCATCCTTCAAACATGGACCTTTTATTTGACCTGCTTCTCCCATCACTATCCTGTCACCACTTGAATGCCTTGGTATATGGGTTGTACCTTACCAGTAGAGGAGACATTGTTGCTCATCTGACTTTGATATGATGCTCTGCAATCTTTAGTCAATATTTCTGATATAAACTTATATAGATGATTTGATGGTCTGATAAAACCACACATTAGCTTACTTAAGAGCCTGTAATGTCAAGTTCTGCAAATTCATTTCTGACAAAAATAGTTCTAATGTCATTGATAATAATGATTACGCGCCAATGGTATGAATTATGACTACACTAGAATATACTGTTAAGGGATTCAGTTTTAAAACCTTTCTTTTTGATGACATTAAGGGATTCTGTCTTTCTGTCTCTCCCTCTCTCCCACTTTCTTGACCTTACACAGTCATGGCAGAGGGATGTTTACAATGGGCATGGTTCTTGCTTAAGGTTTGTGTCTGTGAAAAGGAAGTTGTTCCTTGCAGATTATTCAATAAGAGGAGTTGATGGAGAATTGGACGGCTGGTCTGATATGAAATATTCAGTTTAAAGGAAGATGATTATGGATGCGAAGTGTATATCTATTAAATGGTCAGAGAATCACCCCAGACTTCTGACCGTTGATGATAAATCTATCAGAAACATTTTAGCATATGTTAGTTACTTATAAAACTAAGCATGGATATCACTTGAGAGACTGCAGAGCTGTAATCATTCATCCAATCTCTGAGCCCATAATTACTCATTTTCCGCCGATCTGGCTCCGTTGGGGTAAAAGCTTTGCTGTTCCCTGTAGTTGAGAAGCCACCCGGTTATTAGAGTCATGGCTTCCCGCATGCTGCCAGCTGGAGGGGGCCCAGACCCAGGCTCCCTCTGGACTCTAGTCTCTCTGGGTTAGAATGAACCTTAACCAGGCCCATATGTGTGGAGCTGTGATGGCTCCGTGGCTCACAGGGAAACAGACTCAAAGAATTGTCGCCATGCAAGAATAAGGTATACAAAAGTCTCATCAAGGACAGGACTGCAATAAACAAAATTCAGTACAAGCCCCAAAGGGGAGCAGCATGACAGAACCCGGTTCAGCTCAGAGAGGATGGCAAAGATCAGTGTATGAACACCAAATGAGTGAATATTAAACATCTCCTTACCCTGCTGTGCCTCAAAGTCAAACAAACCCAAAGCTAAGCCCTCAGTGTGAACCTTTCCTGAATAAAAACAGGATTAAGCATGTAAACATCACATCACAACTTTGACTGATGTCCTCTGTGTACTTGGGGAAGAAATGGCTGAATATTTTCCATAGATCGGATCAACTGGTGTGAAAAGGGAAGACACATGGTCTCCTTGTGTTTCCATTGTTTAAAAGTGCAGTTAATCTTGTTAATAATCAATTATTATCTATTTAGAGATCATGTTTACAAAAGGCAAGCATGCTGTGGCATCATTGCTGTTTAATTGGCTTGATTTCTGCAGACTAATAAGCAAGTCAGATGGTTTTGGACAGTTTCAAAATACTGAACAATATTATTTATAAGAGTGGAAAATAAACAATTGCTCAGTTCAGCTTCTGACAGTTCAACAGTTTTGAGAAGATGTGGTTCCATCTGGAGGGGTTAATACCAAGCCTCTCTGATCACTTCTGAGGAAGCTCATGATTTCAATTTGCCATTAAAGCAACATTCTGATTGACGTTTTTAACAACCAAAATTTTAAGGAAGTACACTGACTCATCTGTGACTCAAGTCCCAGACATCAGAAACCCACATCATTTGGCTCCATCATACTGAGCACACTGAGTTTGCTAAACGGATTAACATATTTCTTCTAACAGCATCTTTTGATATCCATGTTGAGATGACAATTGCAGACATCATAAAAGGAGTTGGAAAAACTGTTGAAATGAAATTGAGAGTCTGTATGAGTTTACCTGTCCGACACGGCCTTCATAAATTCATCCAGCAGGTCATCATAGGCCTGGCCTCGCACTCGCTTATGTCTCAGCCCAATGTACAGAGGGTCCCTCAGAAGCACCTGTAAAAACGCACAGAGAAAGAAGACAGGCTCATGAGAATAGACAAAATGTACCCAAGTACAAGTACTGAAGGAGAATCAGGGAGAAAGGAGCTGACACGCTAATGCTTAATGTTACTGTTCCCCCAAAATATTATATTTTTATTTCTTCAGCTGCAAAAAGGAAGTGTTCACCTATAGAAACTCTGCAAATCAACAAAAGAGATACTGTGTACAAGAGTAGTCTTTTTGACGTTGAAGGCTGATAACACTGTTTGACAGGATATTCAAATATTTTCGTCAGAGAACAAGTTACATCATCTTTTTCCATACATTCTTCTCATTTCTTGAAGACATGGTGCTGTCAATACCCACAATGCAATTTGGCTCAAGCTGCTAGCCTCAAGAATAAATGATGACCAGGACATAGAAGTCTGGTGATCTCACTTTTTTCTCACTCTACCACCCCACAAGTATATTACTTGTACGGTATTGTTATCATTAATCAGACTTCACACAGATCCCACTGGAGAATGAAAAGGCTCTATAGAAAGTTTTACATATATTTTGCTCTTAAATACATGCAAACGAATAACCTTAGTTTAAGAGTTAAGTTGATGCACGTCAATCAGAAACAATAAACTATTTTACTACTATGTGAGAAGTTACTTCACATTCATGCATTTGTCATGAAACAGTAAATCAAAAACATTTTACATTAAATAAAAACTAAAAATAAACAGTATGAGCAGATATTTAAGTCTATAAGTCTATCCTTTCTGTGCCAGGAGCGAAAAGAGAAACTGAGGAATTGTACAGACTGAGATGTGTTTGTGCATGATTTATGTCCAGACTTGACATTTGCTGAATGTGAAAAATTAAAGAGAGAGGAGAGACATATACAGTCCATGAGTAAATCCTCACACACACACACACACACACACACACACACACACACACACACACACACACACACACATACACACACCTGTGTTTCTATAGACCTTAGACCTACTGTAACTGTAACCATGTGTGTGATTAACACAGTCTGCAGATGATGTAGCAACTATAACTATTTTCATTGTTATGTCAATCACTTTCACAAAGTTTAAGGGCGAATCTCAGTTTTTATATCAAACCACCATGAATATGTAATTAAAACTTTGTCTTTCTCTGAGAATCCCTAAAATACTTTTTAGGCTTGATTTAAAACTTATTTAGTATAAAGCCATCAAGACTTGCAGAATTTCTGCCATTATGTGCCTCAGATTCTTCAAGTAATGCAAACAATTATAATATCCCTGAAATGTTGAGAAGTCTAGAGAGCAAGTGGCCATGGCAGTAACAAGGCCAAGTGTCATGCACTCTGAAGCAGAGTTTAGGATCAACAGCACTTTGAGTGAAATGCAATTCTTAAAGGAGGCTAAAAAAAATATAAATATGTGACTTTAGCAGCTAAATAAAAACAAGCTGGGGCTTCATTTTTTACTTTTAGATTACCTCACTGGTTCAGTCCTTTAAAGGCTCACTCACAGCATGAAGGAGATGAAAGAGCAGCCCCAGTGAACCTCCACCTTTGCACCATGGTATTTTGAAGAAAGGGAGGGATACAGCAGGGAAGTGAGAAAATGAAGAACAGAGGCTGATGGGGAGCCATGTGTGTGACAAGAAGACAGACAGAGCATGAAAGAGAGAGTGAAGCTGTGATGAATAAGGTGGAAGTAACAGCCACCTAGTAGTGATAGATCGCTTACAGATTTTGCTTTGGGGTAATCTTTGGGGCCCATATTTCATCAAATCTTTGACACACTGAACCTGCTTGACACAACGTGGCTGTGTTTCAACATAAAACAAGTTGTAGAGTCATACCTACACAGATGTTGGAAGATAGACTCATAATTTAAATGTGCTGCTCTTAACTCTGACTCCTAGGAAATTTTGATCCAAGAGGGTGGAGGACTGTATCTGGATTGGTCCTGTCATGTCTCATTAAGACAGGCGACCTTTACTTGTGATGGATAATTTGAGGGTGCCACTTAGATGAGTGCGGCTTGGAGAGGGCAGCAGCCACCTCTCCATGGCAGGGTCAATATGTCCAAGAACAGCTAGAAAGGTTTATTTAAAGCTTTATTTATTTGAAGTTGACAACTCATTTCCTGGCAGGCTTTTAATGGGCAGTAATAGGCTAGAGTTTCAACTGTAACCATAACAAGCATTTTCATGTGATGGACTGATATCAGAGAGTGCCTTTGGTGCTCATTTCAAAAGATGATGCAAGAGCATGCAATGGGAAAAAAGAAGCTTTTGAGAGTTATTCACCTCTGAAGTGAATTTTTACTTGCAACTTATACTTCTATAGTTACAGAGTATTATGGAACATTATTTTAATTATTAATTTCACTTACACACTGTAAAAAAAACATTCATCTTTAAAGGTGAAATAGATGGAGCTGCATTACAGGTGATTATTCTGACCTTGTTGACATGATCTGTCTTTCTGTTGAAGATTATCTTCTGTTGATTGGCTAAGCTGTTCTTTGTGTTATACAGCCCCTTTCCTCTTAGAAAGGATTAGTCTCCGTGTGAGGCTTAACAGTTCATGCTTGCCAGAGACACAGAAGCTCCATTTACACTCTTGAAACTGTTTCAAAACGGGTCATTTATAAAATGAAATAAAATGTTTTATTTCTGGTTTGTGTTTTTGTAGTGGAGTCATAGTAGTTTTACATTTAGCTTTCAGGTTTTACAATATGACTGGAGTCATGATAATAAAATAATTCAGAGGAAAAAAAGCTGAAAGAGGCAAGAAATAATGAATAGCTGAGGGACAGTAGCTCACACACTACACACTACACACTACACACTACACACTACACACAGCACAAACACACAGACACAAACAGTGTATCTTCCAGTATGACATCATTGACTCTCACTTCAGCACAAGTGTGTGAGTTGAGGTTATTTCAGGTGACTTCCAGCCTAAGGAAACAAAGACAGATAGAGTCCAGGTAGATAACAGGATGAAAAAGATGTGTTTCCCTCAATGCTGGATGAGTCTCTGTGGCGGTTTCCACACAAGAGATGTAATGAGCGTTTATTGCTGCTGGCTGTCACAGAAGATTACACAGCTCTACACAAGGCTTCTGCAGAAAAAATAACTATTATGCTGCAGCCCAACAGACATCTCACAGGTACTGAGGCGCCCATGATCTGATAACACATTAAAGGAATAGTTTGGCATTAAGGGAACATGTCAATTCACATTCTTAAAGGACGTCTGTGGATTTGGCTAAACTTATCTAAGCATGTTAGTTGTTTCAGAGTTTTAGCTCCTTCCAGCCCTTGGTCACAGGTCAGGCTCTGCTGAAGACCAAACGCCATTATCAGTCTACTTAAAAGAGTGCACATGGCTCACTAGGGGTTAGAAGAGCTTTATAGTAATTAAAGTTCAGGACCTGGTCATGTCAAGCATTAAAGGTCCACAAAGCAACAGGGCAAATGGAGGAAGGCTGGAATTCTAATTATGTGATCTTGATGTCTTACGCTAATATAAAATAAAAAGGTGCATAATTGGTTTACACTGATAAATGGAGGACAGGACATACAACTGGATGTCATCAGCATAGCAGGGATTCTGAATTATTATTAGAATTATTAGTATTATAACCTAGCAGAAGAGCAGCATTTAGGACAACTGCAGATCCAAGGCTGACCCTTTAAGAATGCCATGGAATGGAAAACTAAAGATGAGATAGAGATGGAAACAAAATCTTCAATAAAGATGGATAGGAGGGTATTAGAGATAGATGAGATTTTTGGAGACCCACCCAAGTTTTTGCATGACAGTGTGGTAAATAAAAGAGTACATAAAACACTTGTATTTTTCCACAAATTAAAGGACCAAGATTTCCACTGAATTAAATCATAAAATGACCTTACTATTTCATCAGACATTAAAAAAACATGCTATGCTACAGTGCTGGCTTCTCTGGCAACAACGCAGGCACACCCACACAGCCGTTTTGGACGTCCCTTGATTTGCCAGGCAAACTGCAAAGCAACAGGCAATGGAAGTGTGCAAGCGAACTGTTCCAGATATAGCTGATTTTACCCGACCTAAAAAGCCTGTTATTTTTCTAACAGATTCCACAACCAGAAACTTGAGAAGACTAGGATGAATATTGGAGATTCTTTTATAAAAATGAAGAGAGTTTAAGCGCAGCAAGTTTTCTAGACAGATGCAGAGCAAGTTAAACATGTAAGGTTCCATATCTACAACATGGCAACCCCCCAGGGAATCGGCTTTAGGGAGGAGGCGGGAGTGAGACAGCTCTCTCCAATGTTTTGAATTTGGACCGCAATTCCCATTTGAAACACTACATGGCAGGGTTACATATTGCTCCTTCAAGCTGACAAACTAACTATTTACGTAGAAAATACAGTCTTGTCAAGGGTCTCCATTCTCCACTGTTGGATGTGTGCCTGCTTATTTCTCTGCAACCCCCACATCCACTCAAGGACAAATATAATCCCATAATAACGGTCATTTTAATAATTATCTTAAGCTACCACTACCTCATGGATTCCCAGATACACACACACACACACACACACACACACACACACACACACACACACACACACACACACACACACACACACACACACACACACACACACACACACACACACACACACACACACGGCCCATTTATCCCATTACATCTCATTTAACCTGTCATCCCTGTAAAATCCAAAACAAAAGAAATGTAAAGTCTGCCAAAGCCGGCTACAGTAAAATCTGTTCATAGCTTCTTTTTTTTTTTTTTTGCACAGGACTGCATTATTACGGGTGTATGTGCATGAGTTTAGTTTGGTAATGTTGGTTTCTAGTAGGACCAGTGGTAAAAGCTGTATCTACTATTCCTCATAAGACTTGAATGAAGGTGTCAGCTTTATTATAATCGACAGGTTATTATGAACTGATCAAAACTATTTAGAAGAGAAAAGGTACTTTCTATCACTTTTGTTAATCAGCAAAACTCCTGGTAACTCCCAACCAACATGAAAACTCAAAAAATAAAATCAGCAACCTCTAAGAAAAGTCAAAGTATTAACAGACAATTTTGGAGTTAATTGGAGTCGCATAATCATTTTTAATGAGGGCTATACCTGTCTTAAAGCATTAGATGTGCTAACAAAACGTATTTACAATTTTTCTTTACAGCCCTGAATTGCACATAACTATACATTACACACAGCGCCAGAGCCATGAAGTAAGTAACCAGGCTTAGCAAATTATTGGAATCAACAAAACAACTGGAAACAACAAGCCTGAATCTCTTCAAACATAAAAATGAGGTTTACTAACACCTCTAAATAATCAATCCTGGTCTCCAGCTATTGTGAGTTGTTTAGCACTTCCTACAAAACCACTCTTGTTTGTGTATGAACTATACAACCTTAGTTTACAATGTGGTAATTACAGAGATAAAAAGGTGTTAGGAGCCGTCGTTATAAACTTTGGACAGAACCCGGCTCAGCAGTTAGCATAAAGGCATTGCAATTGTTTCAATCCTGTTATCCAACCTGAAAAGAAAGTTTACTGTGCCCAAATAATCTCAAAACATCTCCACCTATTTTGAACTGTTCATTTCCCAGCTGCAATTCTTACTGATATATGAGTTCAGCTTGCATGCTCACAGACACACACCTATACCTTAAAAGTGTGTGTTATCTTTCTAATTTGGCATCAGGTAGACTGTGGCTATAATAAATAAGCTACTGTGAGAAATCTTACTAAAGTGTAGGTGCTGATCTCCATTCATGTCTAAAACTGCTGCAGTGAACAGAGAATTGAATCTGTAGAGAGTATGAGCAGCAGGATATAACAAACTGAGAGGTAGGTAATGTGGAAACCTAGAATTCATAGAGATGCCGGTAAAGGAGGAGGTCAAAAGGTAGAGCTGCATACTTTGGGCTTATAAAGACATAGAGCTGAGGTGGTGGACTTGGCAGAATGAGAGACTTCTTTGCTTTCTTAATCCATTTCCAATGGAAAAGAGGTCTAATGTTGCAATTTAATATCTTTTATGGGCTTTCTGGGAAGACTGTGGCACTCCTATTGTTATAACGCATATGATTTGTGACTGGGAGAACTTTGACAAAGTGTTTATTAGGTAAGTGCTTTCAGGCCATCAGGGATGCTATAACCTGCATGCAATCTGTGGCTTTCTACTTTTCTAGATCTGCACAATCCAACAACTCTTCCATATTATTTCTGCTTCTAAGGTTTCCTCCTTAATTTTATTTGCAAACTCATCAGTCATCGGCAACATTTCTCATCCTCAGGCCACTTGGGACATTTGCTCAGGTTGAAACTGAACTCCAGGACTGAGTCATGTGAAGACCGTCTTGGAAAAGGAAGGACAGCGTCTGCCAGGCTGAGCTCAGCTGTGTCAGGCACACAGGCATCTGATGCTGCCCTGCCCTGGGGCAAGAAAGTTGTGTATATATAGAAGTGCACACAGACTATTCTTAGTTTGTTTAGGGCTGGAGACACACGTGCTGCCCTGCCCACAGTTTAGACCAACCCCTAGAGATGAGAACAGGGATCATAGGTGGGGAACTGAAGCTTGGTTGGCTGCCACTCTCTGTGCCTGGCTGAGGGGAGAGGTGCTTTCCCAGCTGGCATTTATCAATGGAGCTGCTTACCTCACTTATGTAGAGAGGGAGTTTCCTGCATGTGAAGTGTGAGATGTATTTTCTTTTTCTTGGCTGAATTCGGTGGCCTACCTGGCCACAGTAGATAAGCAGTATTCCACTTCTGGAAAACTGTATCATGAATGCCTGGCATGTCATTTTCAGGATTAATATTTTGAGTTGAAGGGTCTGGGGCAGCACAAAAAAAACAGGCAGTCTTGATCATTTTTTACTTGAAGTGCTTGAAGTGTCGCTATCGCCCCATGGAGGTTGTTATACACATACAAAACCAAAAGGAAAAAATGTGTCCTTAGCATCTATACTAAAATGTAAATGGTAAGTAAGGCTGTGTTATATTGTTGACTTACAAACCAATCAATGATTCCACAATTCAGATACTTTACATTAGTAGAAGCAACAACATCAATCAAAACATAGGAAAAAGTCCCACTCTAAACTGTACTATTTTACATACTACACTGGTACAATTTGTTAATAAAAACCATATATAAAATAAATCCTCTTAAAGGCTTTATATGTGATTTTTCACACTTAAATGTAATATAAATCAAGTATATCCTCTGAAAATAACTCTGTGAGTCATGACTGTCTACAATGGGTGTAACACCCGAGTCCCACTGTCTGTGATGTTTTCAGAGTCCTATCTTCAGTTTGTTTACATCGCCTGGATGGCCGGCCAGCTCCTCCCCTCACGTATAAAAGTTGTTTAATTGAGGGACTAGAGAAAAGAAGAATAACATACTGTACTCACTGCTTAACTGTGTTTCTAGATCACGCTCATTTCAGGTAAATTTACATGCAGTGTGAAGATACGAGCATAATAAAGATCGCTAGCATTAGCATGCTAACACAACAATGCAGCTCGAGTTGTTTTGATTTCATGCTAGTGCTCAAGGGCGACATCTGCTGGATCAAAAAATTGCATGTAAAGCCTTTAATCATCTTAAAACCCAAAATATGTTTTGTTGTTGTCTGTATCGGCAGAAACCCTGCCTTCCCCCATTACTTAATTTTTTTGGTGACATTTATGATAATAAAAAATAATACTTATTCTGCCAGTAAGGGTTCATTAATACATCTCACTTTCCCCCTTTGGTGGATGTAGGCCTAATTTCAAAATAACATTATATAACAGATTGTATATAGAACTATAAATAGTCTGTCACTTGTCACTGCTCTTACCTCATTGTCTGTTCCCACATCCAGCATGACAGGCAGGCACTGCTGTGGTGGCATGCCTCCACAGGCTGTGTAGAGGGCCAGCTTGCCCACTGGGATACCCATACCATAGCAGCCCAGGTCTCCCAGTCCCAGGATCCTCTCTCCATCCGTCACACACACTGCCTGTCAATCAATATGCATGTTAGCAAAAACTACACAAAAACCGCCTCATCAATGTACATGTGTAATTTATGTCACTACATAATGACATATGGCATATGTTGTATAAAAATAAAATAACGCAGTCTCAAAAACTAAAATTGTCTTTACCAAAACCAATCCTGATTCCACCCAGGAACATGTGTTTTTCTTCTCGTCCTCCTACACCCTCCTGCCTTTCCATTCCTGAATTTATTTAGTAATGAATATAGCCTCTGGGGTGATTCCAGATCATATTAACAGCAGAAGTGTTTAATTTGAAATGTTCCTAATTCTAAGTGTTTTTCTTTTTCCACCAATCGATGTGACACAGAAAACTCTGGCATTGCGTTTTTACAGCCTTGTTCTTCTCACAATCTGACAGTTTATAGGCTATAAGTTTTCCCATACCATTAACACCTTTTACCCCCACAACTAGCACGTCTTAATATGTGACAGAGAGGCTGCCAAGGCTGATCAGTGGGTGACTACCTTGGCTCCTGTTGCTCTATGGAAATGTTAAAAGTAGGCCATATTTGGTGAGTTTATGATAAGACCACTGACAATAAGAAGCAGCGTGTCAGCACCCCGGTAAATGCCCTGCTGTTGACAGCTTTGAACAGGTGTCTGGGGCTGCAGGTAAATTTGACATGCCAGGAATGCCTACTGTTTTTGTCATCTTACATATAACCAGATTATGACTTGCACATAGTTTCTCTATTCAGAAGATTAAAAGAATATTTGGGGCTTTTGGGATACTGGCCAATATAGCAAATCAAGAGATCCAAGTCCTAAACCTCCAGCTCCCAAACAGATCACTGAATTTAGTGAATTAACTATTTTAATTATAGCTTGTTCAGTTTAGAATTGCTTTTAACCAGCTGGATTATTAGGAGTTGGTTTTGCAAAATCCTCATCAGGAATAATCACTGCAGACTTTCTTTAAAAAAAATATATATATCCCTTTAAACTCTTCATACTACCCTATCTTCTTTTCTTTTAAGTATATTTTTGGAAAAAGTATCAGTTATCATCTATTATCATATAAAACCATTTTATGTTCTGATAGTGATCTGCTTTAACTTAACATAGCGTCACTTAAAGAAGTCAAAATAAAAGCAGCAAAAATTATATGTTGTAGGATTGTTACTAAATGCAGCCAATCAATGTGGTTTCCAAAACAAAGCAACAATCATGTTTTGTTCACTCTCAGAATATTTTGAAATTCCATAAAGCAAACAATTACTCTGAAGTATGAAGCTTGTTGCAGCAACTTGAAAAAGAAGTAACTTATACTCTGTTTAAAGTCTGTCCTACATCATCTCTCCCATAACAAAAATATTTTTTGCTAAATCAGAGTACATTAAGGGGCAAGCCTATTTATGTTCTGTATTTTTTAATTATCTTTTATTAAATTTGATTAAAAGACCCAAACCAGTCAATCTCTGGCAATACTTTACAGTCATATCCTTTTTCTAATAGTTTGTGAGAATTTACCTTGATGTCCTTATCTGGCCAGTTCTGGAGCACGGTAGAAATGTGGCCTCTGTCATGAATAGTGATGAACAGCCCCCTGGAAAGTGGGAAAAAAACAAAAAAAATAGAAGAACTTCTTTAAGCATATGAAAAAGACAACAAAAGGACAAAACTTTTTACATATTCAAAAGGCCTCACAGAGCGCCTGGCAGTTGTCCTACTCACTCCGCAAGTTTATGCAACAAATGATGCTAAATTAACCTTGCCATCAAGAGTGGTAACCTAAAAAGTGGACCTCATGACAACTTAAAACTTTTTAAGATTTGCAGAAAAAACATCTTTAAGCTGTTTGATGAGGCTGTTTGATGTTCAGATTATATTTCTTTTCTTTCTTTCTTTAGCCCTGTACTTTATTGAATTCTCATGGCACCTGGGATTTTAATGTTGAGCCAAGCGGATCAACAGGGAGTTTGTCTTTGGACCCTTGAGGCTCCCAAAAATATTCATTATAAGAATCTCCCCCCTCCTTAAAACCCTTTCTCTTTCTTTTCCTTGGTCCATGGCATCATGGTCCTTCCCTCCGGCTCACTCCCAGGATAAAGAGATCATCTTAATGCGTGGGGTCCAGCTGCAGCGTCCTTACTATTCCAACACCCCCATGTGGTTATAAAACAGAAGGCAAATACTCCTCAAGGTGTCAGTGACAGTAAAAACATGACCACTTGTCTTACTCAGCACATGCAGTGAGAGATAAATGCTTGTTAAAATGTTATTTAAAAAAGAGGATATTTTAAACAGCATTGTTAAGGATGATGTGACGACCAGAGAGGTCTTTAACTTTCACATTAAAGTGCTTTCATAAATCAAGGCTGAGTAATGGTACGCTGTCAAAATCAATGTAAACTTAAGGGTAACCACAGAATGGGATAGTTATTCTTAAGTCATTGTAATTGGCTGTATGCAGGGACCATGATCCTTTGGGCTAAACATGATTTAATGCTAACACTCTCATTACCTAATTCTGAAGTTTTACATCTAATCTTTTCTATGTTTTCTGTCTTAGTTTAGCTTGTAAATATGTTCTATTATTTACTAATTGTTGAACAGCATTTTTCAGTTTGTCAAATTGTAGTTGTGAACATAATAGGGGGCACTAGACGGAAAGTTAGGGTTCAAATAAGTTAGTGCACAACATCTTGAGGGAGAAATACCAAATTAAATGGAAAACTATCAAACGGTTAGGAAACTCAAGTTTATAAAAGTTATCCTTATTGAGACACCAAAGGAAAAGTCAGGGGGCCTCCAAAGTCCGTTGTTACCATAAATAATAATAACCATAACATCAAATATTGTGGCAGTCCATTAAGATAACTCAGTGTGGACATGACCCCTCTTAGAGCCAAAACAAGTAATGTGTAACTTTAACATGTAGATCAGTAAACAATGTAGCTTTCAAAACAATGATTTATTTTACACAGAATTATTTTATAATGCAACAGTAGAAATATAAACTGTTTTGAGCTGTTCGGTACAGAAAGGCTTCTGGTCAGTGCAGAGGTCACATAACTACAGTTAAACAGCAGCAGAGCTCACATATGGCAATATCAGTGGTAGTAAACACAGTTTAACACAGACAAATTGATTTAAAACCACTGAGTGTTATGAGTTGATTTAAGCTTTTTTAATGCGTTTGCAGTTGTTCTGTTTTATAGTGCTTTATAATTCCATCACTGTTGCTCAGCTAAAGAGGACATTTGCTGTCAGCGCTATAGAATTCCAGGAAGCTGGGATGGAGATTGAAATTTTAAATAGATTAAATCTGTATAGAATAGGCTCATGAGTTTACAGCCCAACATTAAACAGAGGAGAGACAAACAAGGTGATAGAAGAGATGGATTGGCTTGAAAAGACAAACCCTGAACGAGCGGTTTGCAGGTCACTCAAAGGTCGCAGGCTATAACATCTGGCGTGCGTCAACTTAACACATCATGCCGCTTCAAATGCACCATGGGGAAATGATTTTAAAGAGTAGACCAAATGTCACTAGAGATGTGAAGGACTTTATAGAGCTGGGGTTTTTGACCTCAGAGATTGGATGTGAATGAGAGAGTGAAAAGGATACAGAACCCGCTGCCTGCGGTGTGTTTACCTCATATATGGAGGACGTGAGTCACTACAAGCAACAGCAACAGTAGGAGTTTTGTGAAAGAGCTGCATCAGGGTTTAAAGTATAACCCCACATTATGACTGTTCGAGACACTTAACAAGTTTGATCTATGCAGACATGCAAGCTGTGGTAAAACCTAATCCATGTCAACCTGAAGGTGATTAAAAACATGTCACTTCCAGCAGCTATTATTTCTCTCCTCCTCCAGCTGTCATTTTCTGTTGCTCTGTGTTGACCTCATGAGCTTTGACCCTGACAAGTAAAATTATGTAGAGCTGCAGCAGTGCCTCTGACACCTTTTCACAGTCATTAAAGGAAGAATGTGCAACTTTCTGATCCAGTAGATATCACCCTTGAGCACCAGCATTAAAGCAAAACAAACTGCTGTTAGGCCACACCTCCATCATCCTCAAGCCTCCGCTCTCCTCCAGAATCACACCTCCAACCCCCCCTCCACTTGTCTAGCCCAAGCGGTGGACAAAATTGTCCTTTGCTCGAGCTGCGATTGCCTGTGGCCTGCATTGATGTGTTAGCATACTAATGTTAGCACACACAACAGTTTGCTCGTATCTTCACATTACATATAAATTTACAAGAATGACCGTGATCTAAAAATCATTTATAAGCAGTGAGTATGTTACTCTTCTTTTCTCTAGTCCTTGCAGCTTTATAGGTAAGGGGAGGAGTCGACCACCCCGTCAATGTAAACATGATGTAAACAGAGTCAGCAGTACTCTCTCATTGTGGACAGTCATGACTCAGAGACATTTACACAGGATATACTTGATATCTGCTTTAAGTGTAAAATGCAGAACATGGTAAATAAAAGCATAATGAATCAATGATAGTAAAAACAGCAGCTGTCATAGGAACGAGAATGATATGAATCCATGATGTACAGTTTGTGTTGTGAGAGGTCACGACAAATAAAAGGGGAAAAAATATGTTTTTTTCCTTTTTTTCACGTATTTGGTGTGAGAACATTGTTGCAAAATGAAGTCATAATGACCAAAGAGAATTTCTTCAAGGGGTTACTGTTAGTTTGGGTTTAGGGTTTGGGTGAAAGGAAAATTCTTCCCTCTGATTAAAGTTGTTTAGCTAACATAAAAGCAAAACCACGACATGTCCTGCATCATTTCCAGCATGTAACGACTGCTGGAGAAGTAGAAATGACATTTTGTCATCCTTCCAAACAGTGGTTTCAAACATCTTTTGTAAGCAATGCACGCATTGCCCTTTAAGAAGAACCAGTACCCCTTTAATGAATACAACAATGTTTGTAGAAAAGTTATTCATATGGATATGGAAGCTTTTCATCATATTCATTAATTGCTAACTTCTTTTATCAATTCATTTTTTGGCTTAATGCCAAATGTTTGCCAAAACTGTTTTATTAAACAGTATTTATGACTTCAGTTTAGCTGTCGTTTCGACACATTTCTGAAATGATTATCCATTACTTTTCACGTCTTCATTATTTGAAAATTAATTTGAATATTTTTATCACTATCATTATTATTAGTATTATCAAACACGTTAGGCTTCTTGCAGTTCATTGAAGTTAAAGCTACCGTAAAGAACATTCAAGATTTGCTGATCTTTTTCTGTTTAAACGTTAGTCATGTTTGCAAATGAAAAAAATCTCCTCCAGCTGGCTTTACTCTTGCACTTATCTCTGACTGAAAATCTATGTTGAACATGGAAAATGTAAAAAACTTTTTTTTAAATAATTTTTTAGAAGTCTGTTTGTTAAGAGAGTTAGAACCCTTTCCATCTGACAAATGCAGTTACAGATGTTGAGTTTAAATAAATAAATAAAGCCAATCTTCTATCTGATGGTTCTGTTCTCTATAAGAGTCTAAACGAGCCATCGGTTTCTTTCATAACCAGCTGAAAACTCTTAAACTCCTTCAACGGTCTAGCCATTACTTTAAGCTAACCATTCCTAACACTTTTAGTTAGCCCTTCCAACTTCTGTGCTGCGTTTATAAAAAAGATTTAATACACTTATTATTGAGGTATCAAGTGTGACAGCTAACTGAATGTTTTTTCTTCTAGATTTGAAATTCTCCTTAACATTTCCTCATACCTCAAAGCAACGAGGTACTTTAGGCTAATAGAAGGCTACCTCTGGTTGGGAATCTCATATATCTCGACATATTAATGGTTCAGTTGAACTGCGAGTGTGTCTGTGTGTGTGTGCATGCGTGCATGCGTGCCTGACCGCTGCTGCTGGAATAACCACAGTGAAAAGCAGTCGCCTCATTTTTGTAGATGAGTGGAGGGCCACAAAGCGTTAAGCTGCCATGTCTGGCTCCTTCTGTATAAGAGAGTGTGGCAGGAACAGAGCGAGTAAAGAAAACAACCTGATGGGCTAAAACTGCAGCCAGTGCTGACCTGCAGCCCAACACAAAACACCACAGAGACCGTGGAAGGCAGTGGGGGGGCTGGCATGAGGAAAAACTGCTGTCCACGCCATGACCCCACAACACACAGAGCCCCATAAGGAGGCTGGTCTCCTTTCACTGACCCGTGTCCACACAAAACACAACCAGTCACAAACCTAACTGCATAACCTTACTGGTCATTGTGCTGGACGCCTTCAGTTAGCATGCCACATAAGGTTCAACTGACACAGTGGACACAAATCACTGAGAACGACTGTGAAAAGAGTGTGAAAGGTCACAGTCACGCACTGTGACATTTCTCCAACTAATTAAGCTCCAAATCTTGCCACAATAGACAGGTTGTAATGGTTGGTATGTGTCCCCTAAGTCAAAAACATGACAATTTGGAAAGGCCTCATGAAGCTAACATCTTAATCACATCCAAAAAAAGAGGAAGATATCAACTCAGTTAAGAAGACAACTCTTTTTCTACAAAACAAAAGCTTCTGAAATGATCGACATGCAATTGTTAAGAAGTAACAC